CCCCCCCCCCCCCCCCCCCCCCCCCCCCCCCCCCCCCCCCCCCCCCCCCCCCCCCCCCCCCCCCCCCCCCCCCCCCAGAAAAGTTCCTTAAAAACTTTTGATATTGACAAAAACGATATAGATTCTAAAAGTAGGCAATCTGTGCTATCTGCCCATGCACTTAGTTTGACATCAATGTCTAATAGAAAAGACTGTATTTCCACCAGAGGAAATCGTTCAAAAATTCATTATACTTTACTCTTAACATGATAAATTTACTAAAATTTGAAATGAATTAGTTTAGGTTCTCCAAGTTACCTGCTATTTCGGTTACTTCATTTAATAATTTATCAAATTCTTCTACATTATTTTTTTTATCAGCAAACCATGGAAAATCATGCAATTCATATGTAATAAAATAATGGGCAAAAAATAAAAATAATACTGGTAGTCCAATTAGAGTAAGTATAATATTAATAATTGTGTTTGTTGGAGGTGCAGTGGCAAATAACAAACCAAGCTAAAAAAATATACGACATAGGTAGACACTTGTTGAGCTTCCATATCTATAAATAAACTTCGTAATAGAAATGCACTTATACTAGAGATACAGTTACATCAGCGCTTTCACTGACGATTGAATAAAATAATGTTTATTAAGTTTCTTGCTTTTTTAATTACCATTTCATTTTCATTGAATAGATGCTTTTTCAAGGTAAATCATTCCTTTTTTTTTCTTAAATGTCAACGAACTAAAAATCGAAAACTGTTTTCTTTTTTTATTTCTATCTAATCATCACATATGTTTGTGTTTGTAGTATATATGTACTTTATTATTTAAAATTTTATCGAAGAACATGAAAAAAAAGTTATCCTTGATCTTCTTTAAAAAACCGCTTGTCTTGTTTTACTTTAAAAAAACATAAAACGAACGAAATTATTCTTTTCTTCTCTCGTTTTTTTTAAAAATACCACCTGTAAATAACTTTTACTTGTTGCTGTTTGTTTTACGCTCGACCTTGTTCTACAAAACACAGTTCAATCTATCATTCCACAGTTTTTGTCTATAAAGGGCTTTTGGAAAGATACTGTTTAGATGAAGAATATGATGGTCATAATAAATATGCATACGCAGTAGTATTTTCACATTACAATTGCACATTATAAACTCAGTTCAAGGTTGTTTTGATAAGAGTCTAACAGTTCTGTTTCTAGACAACGTTCGATCACACACTCATTAAGATATTTCCAACTATTTTCAATCAGACCATACCATAATTATGATATAGTCATTTTCTTCTACGGACTTAGTACATGCGGTTTTTAGGTGTTCTATCTTATCGAAAAAATTTAATCCATCAAATCAGCTCTGAATCATTGCGATGGATGCCGTAATCAAGAGTATGAATTTATAGGATGATTTCAAGAAAACTTTTGACAAATGAATGTAACTGTGTGCAGGTAATCATGGCTATTAGTTCGAATATTTGCTGAAGTAAAAACTTGATTAACTCATTTTTATGAATTTTTATCTGAAAATCTCGGAAGTTTTGGTATGCCCCAAGTGTATTTAGAGCCTGTGTCATGTCATTTTTATGGTAGGCGCTTTCAAGAAACTCTGGTAATAATTTTGCGTGTGAGCATGTGTCGTCATCGAGATACACGCGTTGAAAAATGACCAATTTGGCCCAAGTTGACTTTGATTTTTAGGACTTTTCGTAAACTGCAAATATTCAGAGTGAAACAATTTGACTAGCGGTTTTTGCATCTAAAAGTTACCATGTCAAAAGCATCTTATAAACAAAAAACTGTGGAATAGTAGATTGAACTGTGTTTTGTAGAACAATTAAAAAAATTATTCTTAAATATAACTTACCTCAAGATGTTGTGAAAATATGATCCACGTAAACATCATAGAGTCTAAATACGTATACGAGATAAGATATTATTTGTGTTCCCGTCTTCGTTTCTTCTTTGTCATTGTCGACTGCAAAAGTTAAAACGATTATATTGTTAATTAAAATCTAGAGTTGTTGAGTAATAATAATGTTGTTGAACACATTTGATCACGTACACGTTTATTAAGTATTTTATCTAAAGAACAAAATAATATCACATACATACATGACTACTACAGTAAATTAAATAGACGACAAAATGAAGAAAATGTTTTAAATACTCTATATATCACACTGTTTCATGCTTCTCCTAACTATGTCAAGAAAGACATAAGTAATCTGCACACAGCTTATCTAGAACTGTAGAATCACAAACTGAATTTTCAGAAGGGAATCGATGAGGATCGGTATACTAATTCTAACGATCATGGCATCAAGCGCACTGTAAAAAAAATGTGCCCTAGTAGACGGCGCATTTTTTGCAATATATCGGGCACAAAATTTGGCAGACATAGATACCCTAGTAAATGTACTCAAGTGTGAGTACTCAAAGTCGTACTCTGCTGAAAAATGTCCCGAGTACTCACACATTTTTTTACTCATTGAGTACTCACATGAATGCTTATGAGTGAGTAACGAGTACTGTGGGTACGACTTTGAGTACTCATGATTGGGTATTGTTGAGTACTCATATAACTTTTGAGAAAATACTCATGAGTATTGTTCATCTGATATTTTCATATAGAGGAGTGATCTCAGAGAGCCAGAGTAGGACTACAAGTCTAATCATAGACGAGTCCATCCCTGACTATAGACAGAGAGAACAGTGAGAAAAAAATAATATAAATATTCTATATTTCTTCACTAAATTCTATGTTCTTTATACAGTTTCAGTTTAGCAAAATAAAACAGTGAATGAATATTTTCTGAGTGACAATATTCAGAAATTGTTAGTAGTACTAACACGATGAATTATGAGTAAAGGGGTACTCATCGTATGGGTACTTTCACTAGGGTACTGCATTTCAAATGTGTCGTCTATGAGGGCACATTGAATGTGTCAAGTATCAGTTTATTTTAGCTCGTTTGTGAGTAAATATAATATACTGTTTCTTTCGGATTAAATCAGGAAAACAAGTGGATC